TTCGTTGGCGTCCGTCATAGTCTCTACGTTTGATAATTTTAGGATTATATCATCCATACAGTGGTTGAATGCTTTGTCATTATCGTGTATTTCCTCGAACACTAGAAAAAAAATCATATGATTAAAATTTCGATGACAGCCATCGCTAAAATATATCAAGAAAATAATGTATCACTTACCAGGTGTGAACTGCTTGATATTCGTTATATCCTCCCCATTGACTTTATTCTTACGTAACATTTCTTCCAGATTTTTATACGACGAATAACTTCTTAGTTTTTGCCCGAGATCCTCGATAAATTTTGCCAGTCTTGTAGCAGGCCCCCAACGCAAATCCAATATCACGAAACTCTTCTTTAGTCATATCAAGAAAGTCAAGACCAGTAATCTCTTCTTTTCGAAAAATCTTGAAATGTGACTCCTTAAGCTTCAAGTCTTTCTTCCGCAGATATTCGATAAGCTCCTCCGTATCAAAATCCTTCACAACGTCCGCCATCGTGCGAGTTGACCTTTCTTCCGTCAAAGTAGAGGATGTAGAAACTGGTGAGGAAGATGGAGACGCGCTGGGTGAAGACATGTTATCGTTTTATATTGGTATGTGTATGGCGTTAAAAAAAATCTGGTTTTATGCACAGTGCCAAATTTTATTTTTGGAAATGATCAGGAGCAAATAGGAATATAATACACGTGAACAGACTACATGCGATTCGAAATACTTTATTTTACGAAAAAGACGGTACTAATACAAGTAATAAATTTGCAAATACATTGTTGTTATACAGAAAATTATTCTTCGGGGAAAAGAGGAGGCTGAACAAAGATACACTCCCGTGGCAAAAGTCACCGACCATCCCTATATTTGCAATTAAATAAAAATATTGGCATAACTAGCAATGCAATCACCGCAAAATTAGTACTGAATTTAGCGCACCTTATAGATAGTGTATCTAGAGCCGACTTTTATTCTACGAAAAAAGTCACGCGACACAAATGTTTAAAAAATCGTTAAAAATTAACTCACATATTAATTTACACTCAATTACATTCATTTGAAAGTACAAAAAAAAGCGCTGTCGTATTTATAAAATATCTTGCTTCTTTGTTGAGAAATTGAAATTTGAATCTAGGGTACTATTCGATAGTCGCCGACACTCCTTAAATTTGCAAATATTGACATAACAAGCAATGCAATTACCGTAAAACTAATACTGAGGTTAGCGCACATCTAGTCTACAAGACATTTACAAAAAATTGTAGTGTGTCAGCAGCTAGTACATAGGCAGACTCGATAAGTCGGTCTCACGTGATACTGGGAGAATATTATTACTATTTCAGTACAGTCGCTCATATAAAATTTTTTGATTTTTTATTCGAGCCTTGCGTAATACAAGTCACCGATGGTTCCGTTGCAGTCGGACGTAAAGTAGGAAAAAAATAAAAACACTCACTAATCTTAAAAAAAAAAAAAGCTCCGTGAGACCAACAATTTATTTGTTTCAGGCTTAAGACACTTAAAGCGGAAAATTGGGGAAAATTGAATGAATTATTCGACACAAACAAGCATGGATATTTATTTAGAAAATTTTTCCATTCGCTTGCTATTATTAAACTAGTCACGTAAATTCGATAAGTCGGTCCACCGAGCCAGCCATTTGAGACCGACTTATCGAGTCTGCCTATGTAATATGATAATACTGTATTTATATACAGTATATAACTAATGCCAGACATTTTATTCAATCGGAAGATTTCAAGAAGGCTTGGGATACCTTTTATCTACAGAATTTTTACATTCTAGACACAAAGCAACCATTGTGTTTTACAAAATAATTTTGTGACTTCATGATTGTTTTGGGAAAGGTATAAAAACAATGTTAGGCAACGCGCGAAACCAACTGAATTGACAATGAAGCTTAAAACTGTAGTTACGCATTTTTATTCAGTATCATAAAATTTAAATAATGACTGTTATATTATATACTCAAATAGTCTACCTTGGAAAAGAAGTCTGACAGTAAACGTAAACGTGCAACTCATGTTGACACATTTAATATATCTATTTGGAAGAGAAGTGAACTCCTTGAGTAAACTCGTAAAAACAGCGATTACAAGAGCGGTTGTGTCACTAAATTATCAGACAATAAAACGATGGATGTTAATATTGTAAATTTACTTTATTTGTATCAACATGTAACCGTACCTGCAGCTGAATCCAAATCATCACTATTTCTCGGTTTTGGCAAAGCTCCAGTAGGTAAGAGTGTGCTGGAATATTTACTCTCCTTCTCGAGACGTGATAACGGCTTTACATCATTATGATAAACGGCATACCACACATTGTCACCAGATTTATCCTTTTCCACATCACGAATTATTTTGTCAATATCACTCTCAAGTGTTCCTGCATCAGGACGCTTATCAGGATCAGCATCACAACACCGCTCGGCAAGTTTTTTGTATTCCTCTGGCGCAGAATCAGGCATCGACGGTCGCAGTC